GATTAGTTTGCATCTTAATTTCCTTATTGAATTCTTCGATTTAGATAACTCCATGTGCGATTCGACCCCGACTCAATTGTTGGGTATTTATATTACTAGCGATTTCTTACTCATTTAGATTTTTTGTGAGTAATTTGATCATCACGAAATATGATGTCATTCGGGGAGTGGTGGTTAAGAATTGAGTTTGTGAAGTTAAATTGTAAACTCTTCTGTTTGTGGTAGAATATATTTACATTTAGTGTTGTTGTTGTACCCCATTTGCTGCTGGAAATATTAGTGTAAATGGAAGTGATGATGCTCTTCGCTTTGGGCAAAACAATAACATTGGAGACAAAGACGACTGCATATTAATGTCATTGAGAGCATAGGAGTAGTGTGGTTACCCCCTACTACGGGGAAACAATGTTTCATGTAACTGGAACGATGTTGCAGTTTCTCCAAATTAGAGAGGTGTTCAGAGGTCTTGCTCATAAAGACCCCATGAACATATCCAAAACTTTTTGGATATTTGTGGGCCTTTCACTTTTAATAATATTTAACAAGAGTCCATATGTTTGAGGTTGTTTCCTTTCTCCTTTATGGGAGAAGTAACTAAGTGGTTGGCCGAACTACAACAAAATTTCATAACTTTGTGGGAGGAACTAACGTAGGTGTTCATTGAAAGATTTTTCCCTCCATAGAAGATGGTGAAACTCAGAGATAGAATAAAAAACTACAAGAATGTGGATGGTGAGCCTCTCCATGAAACTTGGTTACGATGCCAAAAGTTATTGTTGCAATGCCCAACACATAGTGTCCCAGACAACTTGTTGTTGCAGTACTTCTATCATAGCCTTGATACATTGAACAAATGGTTGGCTGATCAACTCATAGAAGGAGAAATAATGCGACAACCATTTGATGTGGCAGCATGGTTTCTTGATGACATGACAAAGATAAACTAAGCAAGGCTGATAACACTCAAATTACTCACCAGAACAATTAAATGAGTAAGCGGTTGCTAGCAATATAAATACCCAAAAAGAGAGTTGGGGTCGAATCCCATATGAAGTGATATAAATTGAGGAAATTAAGATGCAAACCAATTCATTGCAGCAATTAGGACAAATAGGTGGATGATTCCTCTAAATTTACAATAAGAGTTTGAAATCAATTATTGCACGTCAACTAAAACAGGGCTTAAACAAGTAAAATACGATCTAGGGGTGTGGGAGTCGCTATTAACATCAAATAGAGGCTACAAGTGCTTGCTCAACAATGCTAAATAATCATGGATAGGCTGGGTAATCATTAATAACACAAATCTCCTTCCTATTTCAATGTATCATATCTTGAAATATCATTTCGGTCTCATTCATAAGAAAATACAAATTAACCCAATACCTTAGGAAATCTCTCTTTCTAACAAATTTTGGCAATTAGAAACAAACTATAATTTCCCTTTTGAGCAAACTACAATAATCAAATCTAATTTGCAAGTATTGAACTATTTACCCACTTCAATTAATCTCTTGCAAGCATCAATCAAAGATGTAAGCTAAGACTATATTTGCAAACTTAGCCCATAAATTGAACTCATGCTAAATGGATCAAAACCATAAATAAACGACAGAAAAATAAAGCAGGACACTAGACCCACTAAATTAGTTAACACCAAAATCCATAATCACCCCTAGAATTGGGGTTTTAGTCAAGTATCATAAAAGTGAAAGATATTATACCAATTTTACTTTCAGCCATCAAAACGTTAATAATTAGCAATAATCTACAACACCCACTTTGAATTGAAACCTCAATTGTCAATTACAAATTTTTCAAAACCCCAAAACTAAGAAAACTAAAGTTCTACTCTAATATTCAAAAGTCTGTTCAAACAAAGGATGAAAGATAGATGATAGAATAAGTAAAGAAAATCGGCGATTTTTTCGGGCTCGCCTGATCGATGACATTAGACGGGCTCGCCTACTTGATAAAAAAATCGGCGATTTTTTCTTAAGCTTTCCCTTTCTTAGCTTTAGGCTTCAGGTGTTTGAACCTCAGTTGGTGAACTTGATCGAGTTAGCCTTTTGCGTTGAGCGAATCGCCAATGACCACCTTGTCCGACTAATTTATCCCTCATTTTAACTTAGAAATCTGTCACTTTTAGAGATAGAATTGGGCTCACCCTTTCTGATTCGGTGAGCAGCTGTTATCTGCTTTTATCACTCACTTTCCATGACATTTTAGCATCAAAACAGTCAAATTCGGTGGAGTTCAGGCATAGCTGGCAATTCACCCACTGGTTTCAGCGATTATCAGCTTTAGATATTCTCTCTTTTTCAGTGTTTTGGCCTCTTTTGCATAGATTCGTCGTTCCCTTATCCTTTAGCCTTTATAGATGCAAAGCATCAAAATATAAAATATAAGGACATAAGTAAGCATTGAGGATGCTATTTGTTGAGCTAAAAGGCCTCAAATGAGTCAAAATCTCCTACTTATCAATACCCCCAACTTAAACCTTTGGTTGTCCTCAAGTAAATCAAGAACACAATGAGTTCAACAAGAATGTCTATAACAATACTCAATGTGAGATAACATATAAGTGACATCACAAGACTACTAACAAGTATACACATTATCTCAATTATGCTCAAGAAGCTTCAAATGATGACAAGACGGTATCAATTTAAGTCAAGCTCACTAATGCTCACTTATAATGTAAAACCATTCTTCAACAAAAATATTAGAGTCCCCTCACAACAACAAAAAAAATTTATGCTCTCACAAAGCACATAAACAAATAAGTTAGGAATCAATACAAACTCTCAATCTTCGTAAGAGAAATACAAGCAAGCTTCATCCCATAGGTTTACCCATATTTTCCAATCATCACACAACCTGGTTTTAGCAAGATAACAAGGGCCTTTCCAAGTTTGTAATTGGACAGAGAGTAAAGGTATGGTCTATTTGGCTTAGTGATTTAACCTTTTCGAAGGATTGTTGTACTCATCTTCACTTCTTCTCAATCTTTTTTCATACTTTTGATTTGGAGTCTCAATCCTCAATTCCTTATTCAACATATTGGAAACCCCTTATTTCACCAAAACATTCTTTAAAAATATCCATTTTCATGCTTTTGCTCTCGTTTTTTTAATAAATAGGGGTTCCTTTTCTTTGCTACAACATCAAGATTGAGTCTCACTTTTCATTCTTTTTTTCACTTGGCTTTCTTTCCTCTTTTATTTCCACACCCCCAACTTAGACTTTTCACCTAAGTTGGCTATTCTAAAAAATCAATGCTTAGAAAAGGATTTATGGGTGGAAAGCTAGGGACATATTTGGTTCAATAGGCTTCAATGAGGCAGACAACAAACGGTTTAGGCTCAAATGGTGCTAACATAGTTGCGCGCCCTTAAAAGGTAGTCATAAAAGGTATGAAGATTTGGATTTTCTCTCAAAATTTGTGTCCAAGATCATCTATTGCATTCACTAAAGCTAAACAATTAGACTAAAAAGGAAAATTCTAGGAATCTACAAGCATGCTTCCAAGTAGGATCTCACCACACATGGCACTTCAATCACAATCATTTTATACAGCTCTATAAAATTAAGAAGCTTGCATGAAATCCTCATCGCAAGGCTCACATCAATACTCAACTAGTCAACAAAAGATTCTAAAAGATCATGCAAAAGTAAAGCAAAACATGGTTTCCCTTGCAACACCAATACTAACATATTTCTCATCAAAAGCACTATCGAAGATGCTGATATTTTTCAAAATTAATCCTCGAATATCAACAATGAATACACAGGTAGCATCATTTTACCAATTTCAAAAATCTCGAGGTAAATGATAGAGAGAAGAAAATGATCAAGTCGCAACCAAACCTAAAAAAGGGTAGGCCCTACAAGTGCTCCTCACCCCACCAAAAAGAAAAATACAGTGTCATCAATGCTGAACGTGAAAAGAAATAAAATTAGGTTGAATGTCTCCTTGTCAGGCAAAACCTGTTAGATTTCCCACTTAGGCGAGGTGTGACATAGGTTGGCTTCCAAATCGACAAATTGACGAATGAGTTGCGCCCGCCAACCATGTATGTAGTAATCCTGAAATCCCTTTCCAAGTTTGATGATCTTGATGATGTTCGCTTTAAGAAATGATGAGTCACTGAATTATGTCATGGATCACGGAATTTAATAGTAATTGCCTCGAGAATGTTCATCTAAAGAAGCTAACTGAGTTGGGCTCGCTGAAGTTGGTTAGAAAATCTCAAAATTAGCTGCCATAGTGCCAAAGTTTACAAAACCTCTAAGAACTTGAGCCTCCCCAAGGGCAAGCAAAAGAGATCTCACTTACTATGTTAGTTGACTCACCAAATTGGAGCTTGGTCTGCCTAATTTTCCCTTTTTACCTACACATGTCTCAAACATTAGTGAAAACAACTAAAACTTAGATTTCCTACCAATAAGTGCTTAAATTGACGTTATGGTACGACGTTGGCATGCTCTCAATCATCTTCCAAATACACCACTTCAATAACTCTCACATCACGACCTTTCCTAAAGTACACTTTCAACCATTGGCCATTGACCTAGAATTTAACACCCTTAACATCTTCGATTTTAATTACTCCATTATCATACACCTTAGTCAACATATATGGACCAGACCATTTCAATTTTAATTTTCTCGGGAAGAGCTTTAGCCTAGAAATGAAGAGTAGAACCCATTCACCTACCCGAAACTCCTACTGTAGGATTTTAGCATCATGTCATCGCTAGACCTTCTCCTTGTAGAGTACAGAACTCTCATATGCCTTTAGGTGAAATTCATCCAATTCATGGAGTTGGATGACACATTTTTTTGAAGCAACCTCCCAATGTAGATTTACCTTCTTCAATGCTCATAACGCCTTATTCTCTTACTCAACTGGCAAATGGCAGGTTTTACCAAATACTAACTAGTACGGGGACATGCAAATGGGAGACTTGAAGGTTGTATGATATGCCCAAAGTACATCTTCAAGCTTGCTAGACCAATCTGTGCGGTTGTCATTCACTATTTTTGCCAATATATTCTTGATTTCTCTGTTATACACCTCAACTTGTCCACTAGTTTGCGGGTGGTATGGTGTAGAAAACTTGTATTTCACCCCATACTTGGATAAAAGTTTTTCAAATTGACTATCACAGAAATGGGAGCTACCATCACTTATAATAGCCCTTGGTGTGCCAAACCTTTTGAAAATGTACCTCTTTAAGAACTTGGTAACAGTCCTTCCTTCGTTGTTATGTAAAGCCATTGTTTCTACCCAATTTGAAACATATTCGACAACCATTAGGATGTTTTTGCTACTGAAGGAGCTAATGAATTGTCCTATGACTTCACTTTCCCACACATCAAAGAGTTTAACTTCAAGAAATTGTCAAAGAGGCATCTCATGCCTTCTTGAGATGCTTCCTTGCATTAGGTATTGCCCACATACTTCAAAAAGCATGTGCATATCGGTACATTATAAGCCAATATTATCCATATTATAACACCTTGGATGTGGAACAGGTTCCTCCATGGTGTCCAGCCAATGGTGTTGCATGACAAGCTTCAAGGATCTCTTTTACCTCAACTTCTAGAACACAATGTTTGATGATGTGATCAGTGCATTCCCCAAATATAAAGGGTTCGTCCCAATTATATTTTTTTACATCAAAGGGGAACTTCTTCTTTTATAGTTGTTCAATCTCTCGGGGACCATTCCACACACTATGAAATTTGCATAATCAGCATACCATAGAATTGAAGTCTGGAAGATCATTATGACTAACTCATCGGGAAATGAATCATTTATATCCATCTCCTCAGCCAATGTAGCAGGTGACTCAAGCCTTGAAAAATGGTCAGCCACTTGATTTTCACACCATCTTTAATCCTTTATTTCTAAACCAAACTCTTGGAGAAGAAGCACCCATTGAATCAATTTAGGCTTGGCTTCTTTCTTTTCCATCAAATATATGAGGGTTGCATGATCGATATGCACTACCACCTTGGTACCAAGAAAAAACGCTCTAAGCTTTTCAAAACCATACACAACAGCTAGCAATTCCTATTCAGTAACTGTATAATACTTTTGATCACACTTCATCATTTTGATAGCATAGTAAATTAGACAAAAAAAACTTATTCTTGTGCTACCTGATAATAGCACCAAGTGTCATCCCACTTGCATCTCACACTATTTCCAAAGGAAGGCTCCAATCAGGTTCCATGATAATCAGGGATGAAACAAGTTTGTCTTTCAAACTCATAAGAGATTTCATATAATTGGCATTAAAATCAAAAATAGTTTCTTTTCAAGTAGCTGACACAATAGAATAGCTACCTTGGAGAAATATTTTATAAATAACCGATAGAATCCAGCATGGCCTAGGAAACTCCTACCACCCTTCACCAAACTTAGATGAGGCAATTTGACAATAACATCAATTTTAGCTAGGTCTACCTCAATTCCTTTCTTGGAAATTTTGTGCCCAAAGACTATTCCCTTCTGCATCATAAAGTGGCACTTTTCCCAATTAAGAAATAAATTTGATTCAACACATCATTGCAATTCTTTCCCCAAATGGTTCAATAAATCGTCAAACGATTCTCCCAACATTGAGAGGCCATCCATAAAAACTATCATCGACTCCTCTACCATATCAGCGAATATAGACAACATACATTTTTGGAAAGTTGCTGGTGCATTGCACAACCCAAAGGGCATCCGCTTTAAAACAAATGTCTCATAAAGACAAGTACATATGGTGTTCTCTTGGTATTCCGGTGCTATTAAGATTTGGTTGTAGCATGAATAACCATCTAAGAAGCAATGCCACCTTTTTCTCGCAAGACGATCAAGAATTTGGTCGATGAAGGGCATAGGGAAATGCTTTTTCTCAATTCTTGAATTTATGTTTTGATAGTTTATACACACTCTCCACCCATTCATGGGACTAGTAGCCACAAGATCATTCATCTCTTTGGGAATTACTGTCATTCCTCCCATTTGGGGACACATTAAACTGGACTTACCCATTGGTTGTCTGTAATGGGAAAAATCACACTTGCATCCAGCCACTTTATGATTTCTGTTTTCACCACTTCTTGCATTAAAAGGTTTGACCTCCATTGATGCTCTATGTTTGGCTTACAACCCTTGGTCAAATGAATTTTATGAGTACATTCACCCGGAGATATCCCCACTATATATTCAATAGACTAACCCAAAGCTCTAATCTGTTTTGTCAAAACACTCATCAATGCATCCATTTTCCACTCTTGTAAGTCATTTGAAATTATCACAGGTGATATGTTCTCATCCCCCAGAGAAATATATCAAAGATGTGGAGGAAGCACTTTCAATTCCAATTTTGGAGTTCTATTATTGATGGTTTGGTTGGTGGGGTGTCTTGATTTGACAAATTTATGTCTAGCTTCTTTGGGTTAGAGGTACAAGACCCCACACTGACAAAGGCAGAAACCACCTCATCATAGTCACTTATTTCTTCTTCATCATAATTAAGCAATACTGCAGCCAATGATTCCCCACATAAGCCTCTTCACCGATACTTGCTACTTGTAAATTTTGAAGTTAATTTCTTCATCATTCACCTGGAATTTCAAGTCTCCCTCTTCAACATAAACTAAATCCTTCTTGGTGGCCAAAAATGCCCACAAAGTATAATGGGAACCTCAACATCAATTTCACTATCCAACACCATGAAGTCAGTTGGAAATAAAAAATTGTCTACCTTTACTAAGACATCATAGACCACCCCTACTAGCCTTTTGATTGACCGGTCTGTCATCGATAGTCTCATACTAGTTGGCTTGGATTCCTCGAGCCCAAGTATATTGAAAACCTTCAACGGTATTAGACTTATGCTTTCCCAAAGATCACATAAAGCCTTGGTAGATTGATGTACTCAAATGGTGCATGGTGTGGAAAAAGCCCCTGGATCATACTTTTTCACGATTGTATTGTGGTCATGATGGCACTACATGTTTGAGGGATATCAATAGTTTAAGATTCTATCAATCACTTCTTTGTGACCAAATCTTTCATATACTTTTCATAACCAGGCATTTCAAAGAATGCATACACCAAAGGGATATTCATCGATAAAACTTTCAATACCCCCAAGAACTTTTAAAACTTTGCATTATTGTCTTTCCTCCTCAATTATTGAGGAAAATAAGGAGTTATTTTGATATGCGCTTTAACAGTTGGGGCCATTACATTTTTGTCACTTACATTTTTTTTTAGATCACTCACAACATCCTCCATTGATGGTTCATACACTTGTTTGGGTGGCTCGCAATCGTGAGGAATTTTTTTGTCACCAAGTTTTCCAGTCACCAGCTCATTGTGCAACCCATTTCCACTCTGAGTTACTGAGAACTCTTAACTACACATCATCCAATTCTACGTGTAGGAGGTCACAATCAATTATAAACCTAATGAAGAGTTGGGGTTGATCCCACAGGGTGTGATACGTAGAGAATTCAATTACGAAGTAAAAGGCGTGTTTTATTCGTTTGTAGAAGTAAACATTATCAAAACAAGTTAAAGTAAATTTGCGGGGTTCACAACTAGTGTCAAATGAGGGGATTAGTGTGAGCAATTAACAACTACGAAAATAAGGGGTAATCAAGTAGAGAGGGATCCTTGGGAATGTGATCGATTAAACCCCAATTTCACTATATGGGTGATTATTATCTACTAAAAGACGTTGAATCTTAGTGGGTGGGCTAGGCCTTAGATGTAATGGCCATATCTTGATCTACTACCACGAATCAAGCGAGTTACCTCAAACCTTGACGAGCATAACACTATGAACAGCCCAAAACCTCAATTAATCTACTCTCTCGAGCTAGATAGGTAGGATCGAATTCATATTCACTTTCTCAAGTTGAATCAACAATAACCCAATCACTACAATCATCATGGATAGTTTTAATTCTAAAACCTCTTTCTCAAGCAAGACTAGAATGCTAAACTAGAATTGTATTTTCAACTACAATTCATGAATTAAAACACAACTATCAATCCAACCCACTTCAAATCAACATTTAAATCAGTAAATACTAACAGTCATAAGCTAATTAGAACATTTAATCACATAATCACACCCCAAGAATGGGGGTTTTAGCCACACATTATAAAAAGAAATAAAATGTTACCAACTATGTTCTCCATCAGCTAGGTAATGAATTGCAAGTCTTCACAATGCTTGGAATTAGTTCAAAATCAAAACCCAACTCAAAATACTACTCAAAAACTACAAAAAAAATAGTGTTTAGATTAAAAACCCAGAGTTAGTGATAACACTCAACTACACTTCATCCAATTCTAAGTATAGGCGATCATCATCAAGTATAAACCCAACGAAGAGTTGGGGTCGATCCTAGAGGGAGTGATACGGTAGAGAATTTTTAACACCTAAGAATCTAGTGAAATAATAAAAGAGTTAAGTGGGAGGTCACTAGCCCTCCATAGAGCCAAGACACCTTTTATGGAGCCCCTTACGTGCAGTGAAGGGCACCACGACTTGTGGTGGCACTCGTGGACCTTCAAAGTGAGTGTCCAAGTAAAGAGAACCTCCTTCAAAAACCAAGATGTGTATGGTGAGGACCACGGGTCGTGGTGATGGTCATGGAAGAGAGGCAATAGCTACCTAAAAGGGTGACCCTATAAACGAGCCACTTGACCGCTCGTGAGACCCTTGACGGCTCGTGGAGATGGTCGTAAATGTGGTGACGTATAAGGAGTGGCAAGCCAAGCCACTGGTCAAGGACCATATCTGCCACCACGGTCCATGTGGTCCTTGACGGCTCATGAAGCCTGGCGTGAAGAGGCTTAGTCAGTAGTAAATTCAGTGACTTTTGGGTCTTTTCCAAATTTCTTTAAAATAAAGCTATGTCATTTTACCCATGCCTAGGACCCCTATATAAGTGATTTTAACCCCATAAAAACTTATCTATTCAAGTCATTTTCTTAAATTCACCAAAAGAAATTGGCTTCTTCCTCTCCAAAATATTTCTCTCTCTAAAATTCGAAGAAGAAGAAGGGTTGAAGCTAGGGCTCAAGGTCAAGTCTCCATTCTCCAATCATTTTTGGGCTTTGATAGCAAGGTATGATAACTTTTCATCCATGAAATCCTTGCATGCATGGATCCCCTAAGTTCTCTCAATTGAAAAGTAGAATTTCCAAATTTGAGTTAGGGTTTTCTTCTAAGTTGTGAATCTTTGTGAATATTAATTTAA